TTTTACCGTGAGTAATTATGAATTATAGCTGTTTGTATAACTTTCCAAGCACATGTTTCAACATTTTAAGTTATCCTCTGGATGAGTGTATGAACAATGTTATTCTAAGCTATATTCTATTGATCTTGRTTGCTTCGTTGTAACCTTACTTATCATGGTTKYGATAAATATTAATTATTCTATACATTATTATAACTTATATAATTACTTTTACTATGTTTCATTAATAATGTTCGGGCTTAAATTATTTTTAATTATTATTTTAGTCTATTTTATATACTTACCTATATATTGGCCATAGAGTTAAGCTCAATTGTAAAACTTTTTTCCCTATTAAATATACGGACATACTTTAAAAAAATTGTCTTAGTCGATAATATCTCGATTTACTTACAAAACGACGATTTATAGCGTTGGAAAACATAAACGCAAAACACGTTWATATGAGATAAGCAAAAATAAATTGTGTCGTACAAAAGCGCCAAAATTCTATAGATACTTGATGAATTGATTATATTTTTAGTTATTACTATCRATACAAATAAAGTTTTMTTAGTTATGCTTATGTTTTACAAGTCCTAGAAATTTATGAAGTTATAACATTATACTGACGGTGTTCAAACTGTGTGTAAGCTMTATAGAAAATTAATTGTTTTACAAAAATAATTACAAATTTATTTTATGATTAGAATATCTAAAAATTTGAGAGAAATGGTCAGTTATTACAGTTCGGAGGTATACATTGATCCTTCAAAATTAGGCTGAAAATCTAAATAAAGATATTACACTAACTACAAAATAGCTGAATAATTGGCATTTGAAGTCCAATATTTTGTTGCTCATTGCTCAGTCCATATTATATRGTAACCGATGTCTTGATAAAATTATAAAGTGAAAACATATTTGTTCATAAATTCTTGAACATTCTTYTCCTTTAAATTCGAAATCGAAAACACCTCGTTAGCTAGAGCATAAATTTACAATATGGAATTTAAATAAGTCCAATGAAAATGTGGGATTAAAAATTAAACCAGTTTAAATAGACAATATGTATTGAATTATAAAAAAATATTACATGTCATTTATTCTTATAAACATATATTAGGCACCTACTTATTATTTAATCACCACAATTATAATTTTAATTAATATTGGCACAAATTATATTTATATTGTTTGATATCTTTGGCGCTTTTGACGTGAAACTCTTACACCTTTTTCAGCACTCTTGTTGTATCAGCACCAGTGGCGTGCCTTACTGGAGYGAGGGAGAGGAGTTAAGTATGGTAAATCAGAATTTGATATCCGTCACCTTATATGTACTAGGTCTGTATTACTAAACTCTGATATTACACTTCTACAAATTATTAATAATTCGTTAAATGTTTCTTCAAAACTGTTTTCATTAATATCATGTTTTGTACTTTGCCTAGAATTATATACGATTACTGCCAAAACACGGCAAATTGAGAGGGGGGGAGCTGAAGTACCCTTACCCTGCCTGGGTACGTCACTGCATACAGCAGCCATGTAGCATGTACCCCCAATGAGGCAATAAATAATTTTGATTTACAAGAAGGTGATATAATAATGTTTCTATATTATTTGCTATTATAACAAAATATCCACTATATAGCATTTACGACACCAGAGGCCGATTAATAATTATAATAATATAAAAACAATTCATCTAGACAGTAGGTATTATTGTATAATATACTATATACACGCACATATATGTATAATATATTGTTATTGCGATGGGAATAGGTTTTGACACGAAACAGATGCGGGTCAAGCAGTGGTTTCTTTTTGAAAAAAATAAATAAATGATATGTCGAAATATAAAATATGTTGTGTACATTTTTATAAATGGATTGAAATTAAATAATATATACAATATTCAAAAACGAGTGAGTTAATGAATTTAACAATAAACATATTACATGTAATAATAATAATATAATATCTAGAGTGTACTATATAAAAGTGTCACAWTTTGAAAGTAACTTAAATATCACAATCTATGTAAAAAAAAATAATATATATTATGATCAGGTTGTATATGGTTTGAACAGGTGAAAATATTGTACATTAGCCGAACAAATTTTTTATGTACATATTCGTCTCGAGTAAAAAATAAAAATAAAATACAAAAAGGCTTGACTAGTTATTATTAATATTTATAATGATTTAATATGTACAATATTATGTAATGAATAAATGAATAAAATGTTTTAACAACTTAGGTACGTTATTGCAATTGTATATTTTTCGTCAGTTGTCGGTTCATTTGAGTATGACATCCAGCGAATGGTGGGARGAGCTGTGAGGGGCGAGGGACAAAATCAATCGCCTCGACCTAATAATATAATAATATCAATATTATTACAATACATAGGCCACTACATTTCCACTAGAATCGCCATGATAATAATACAAGCGATCAAAACGGAAATAGCAGATATGTTAATTCATTCGATTATTAGCGTTTTACACAAAAACGTTTAATGTACAACAGAGACTCTTAATCACGACGAGAAGAATCTAAAATAACGAGCAACAGTTATTTTAACGAATTACGCCCGCCCAAGTTCTGGTTTATTGTAAAATAACGATACACGTAATAATATACTAATATCATATTCATATTATTGTATCGGTATAATACAGATTGACGTGGATAAAAGACGACGGGGACGCGATCCGTCCGATGATGAATATTGCCTATTTTTCTATCAGTCTATTTATATAACATTATAGCGTTTACAATTTTTACAATATAAGTTTAATATTTATCATCTGTATGTACACACAACAACATATTAAATAGAWACCGCACGAATTAGGCACTTGACCATGTTAATGACCAGTCCAAAAACGGACAGTTCTAATGTAACGGTTCGGTGGATTACTTATATTATATACACAGGTTGTAGTTATAGTCGACTCGACATAATTATTATAATATTATTATTGTAGTCGGTTATTAAACAGAGAAAGAAAAGATAAAACAAACAATTAATAAACAAACAAACGACGCATTTTCTGCGTGCGACGACGGCTCCACGAGCTATTATTAATTATTATAACGACATAGAATCCGCGCGCGCCAAAGAGATTGTCGAAGCAGTAAATTTATCAGGTCGACGGTTTCGGCCCACCGCCCTGTCGCCAGTGAGCGGTTGGCGCCGTCCGGGAGGGGGGGGGATGTCCGGCGCTCTTCAGTCTGCATCACATCCGGGCAGATAGGAAGCATTTTGGCGGAGCACGAACGGCCATCCTTCGCGTGGCTCACCGCGCCGACCGCMGCTACCGCCGCCGGACCGTCATGACGCGGCGGCCGCGGGTGCGTAGCCGAGGTTCTTGCGCTGCAGGAACAGATGGATCTCCCTGAATGTGGGTCGGTCCGATTCCTGTCGCTTCCAGCACTCGCGCATCAGGTCGTAGATGTCACGGCTGCACGCCGGCCGGGCCGGGTACTCGAACAGGCCGTCGTCCACGTGCATGTGCGACAGGTTCTCTACCACCCTGTGGTCGGAGAACCCTTCGAACGGCCGCGACTTGGCCAGGTGCAGGATCTCCCAGAGGGTCACGGCAAACGACCATACATCGCTTTTCGTCGAATACTTGTCCTGTAAAATTTATTTTCATCAACGTCATTAATTGTATTTTTCAAACGACACAACACATTTAATATATTATTATTCATCATCACAATATTGTCAGGTGCAGCGCAGTGGCGAAATTTGTGGYAGAGACTACCCACGGGGGAGAGGGGCTTTCTAACCAAAATGTTTGATCAATATATTTTTTATCATTATGTAATTATTGCGTTAAACACGGATCTAGAATTTCAATTAAACGAATTTCAATGCGGCCCGCACTAAAATTCTACATTCTAAAATCTAAAATCCCAAGTCCAAGAAAAACTTTTATGTTATTCATGAACTTTTCCTACAATTCCATTTCCCGAAAAAATATCCTATCTCACTTTATTACTACCTATTCTTCACTAAATTGTAATTGATAACTATCAATAAAAATGTAAAATGAATTAAGTACTATTAATGAATAGTTTTTTTCAACCAAGGCCTCTTWTGTATCCCTCCATCTATTGTGCTTGGTGTAAAAATATTTTATTAAGATTGTACAAATTAAAATAAGTATGACAAAAAAAAAAAATGTAAGCGGCCCGCAAGTAATTTTCAAAACTTATAGTTTGTCCTTTCTGAAATCTTAGTGAAGACCGCTGAYCTAGAAATTATATAATATTGAGTTGTGCACTCGTTTATGAAGTAATAAGTACTGGCTACTACGTAGTAGGTATTTCAATACGAGTGTATAATTTTTCTAAAAATAATGAGTTTTATCATCATTTAGTCGAATATTTATTATTGGATGTTTATATGAAAATTACYGAGTAGCCGAGTATGGATTATATCTTGGGAAATGGCTGTTTTCTGAGTAGCACTTTTTATTTATAGAAATAAATTACAAGAGGGATTTTTCAATTTCGTTAGGGTTTACTTTTCTCGGAATATATTGACGCGTTGTAGATTTCTGTGTAAAATATCATTTGACAGGAAAAAATCAATTGATTAAAATTCCAATTCAAAACCATCAATTCGTCATTATGTAATTTAAATAAYGAACCGTTTGTACAATATAATATTAACATTATRWACTAATAGATTTCAGGAAAATGGCTATAAGCTTACCAAGAACGCCGATTCCCACGACATCCATCGGACGGGAAGCCCGATGTTGCCGTCCAATTTGTAGTAGTCGGCCGAATACGCTTCGTTGTCGGTGCCGAAATCGCTGATTTTTACTTTGTACGCTTTTCCCACCAAACAATTCCTGAAACACGTTTGAAAATTAATTATAACGGTCGCCGAGGGAGCGCCGCATAACAAACGGTTGTGCGTCGTTGTTAATTATGACGATACAAACTGATGTTAAATTCACAATGTTTTTACCTGGTAGCCAAATCACGATGGACAAAGTTCAACGATTCCAAGTAACGCATTCCTGACGCTATTTGTGTGGCGAGGTACAGCAGACATTGGAAACTGAAAATTACGAACGCGAGAAAACGGGTTGTTAGAATAGCGATTGTTCTGGGGCTTATTGTTTTATTATTCATGGACTTTATCCGCCAAACTTTGTGTTTTGAAAACAAGTAAATAACGCATTTACACATTATCGTAATATTTTAAAGTGGGTAATAATTGTAAAATCGAACGACTATAGGTTATTTTGATAAAAACCTTTATGTAAGAATGCAAAAAAATAAAAATATAATCACTTGTGATGATAATACTATTTTAAGGCTTAGATGTAAATAGAGTTGCCAATCTCGACTCCTTAAATAAACATTTTATTCGCATATTAATAATATCGATAATATCGATAGTTTGGTAAAATGTATCAATATCAGAAATTTTCATGTGCATAATAATATTGCCCATTGTACTAAAAAACAAAACACTTAATGTAGTGTATGAGTAATTTACTTAAAACATTCTAATGATAAGGAAGAGTATTGGCTGTGTGTTAAAAATATATTTTTATCATTCTGTTTTGAAATAGATACATACCTCAGGGTTTTCACAGGTGGCGGCAGGTTCCGAACTGCTTCGGCGGGCACGTGCGCTTTGAGGAACTGGTTGAGGTCACCGTGCTCAGTGTACTCCATGACTACGCACAGTGGTTGTTCGACGGTACACACGCCCAACACTCTGGCGATGTTTTGATCTTCCAGGCCGGCCAAAATCCTCACGTCGTTTTGTAGTTCAGCCCTAAAACAACCATAYAACGTTATAATTTTTATTTTATAAACATCGGATAGAAACACATAAGCATATTGGTTTCCTGTCGTCATAATTAACGAATATTATACCAAAACGTTACCATAAAAAAAAAAAATAAATAAATAAATATCGTCGATTTATGTTAAATAAATATAATCAGTTACAGATAGGGTTGCCAACTGTCCTACATTGGGGAGGATTGTCCTACATTTGTTTGAATTGTCCTACGTCCAACAATACTATAAATTTTTGTAGGACAATCCTACATTTTACAAAAATACCTATTTACTCGTATATTGAACATAATGAATTTTCTTTTTATATTTTTTTTTATCTTAAATCGTGGTAATCTGTGATAATCTAAGAGATCTATAACCGATTGTTTTGTTATTTTAAATATTTAAATATGTATTTACTATTAATTTTCATGATATACTATATGTTGAATTCTCTAAGTCAAATATTCAAAAGAGTCAATAAGCAATTCAATAAAAGTGATATAAATATAGTGTATTAGTCTTAGATGTATATTTTTTTTCATTAAATCATAATATAATTATGGCGCATAGCGGGAATGGAAATTGTTTATATGTACATATAACCATTAACCAGGATAAATTACCATATTAGTTGTCCTTTAATTTT